TTTTTTTTTTTTTTTTTTTTTTTTTTTTTTTTTTTTTCGTTGTGTCCTATCGGTTGTCCGAGGCTTCGGCAATAAAGTCCGAGGCTCGGCAATGAAGTCCGAGGCTCGGGAATGACCGGGCTACCGGTAGCCTGAGTCACGGGCCTTAACAACCGGTAGGTAGGTTCCCCGTATAACGAAGTTTCTTTTAAAAAAAAAACAAAAAAAACACCGGTCTGTATTTTCAACAGTTCATGGGTGTGGTCCCCACTGAGCTAGGCTCTTGGGTGGACTCCCCACTCTAGGCTCTTGGGTGGACTCCCCACTTTTCATTCATGGGCTAGGAAAGGGTCTCGCTCCACTACTCTAGAAACCGGCGGTTTCTTGAGCGTGGCACCACTCCACTTACTCTAGACGCCAGGTCTGGAATTGCATTTCTTGAGTTGTCAGAACCTCCTCGCCCGTGGCACTCTTGACCATTCGAGAGCTTCTGTCTGCAGCGGCGGGAATTTCAAGGGAGGCATCCAGGACCTTAGAAAGTTGAGCATTTTTATGGAGTGCACCTGGAGTCTGGGGGGACAACAACGTGCTGGCCGTGTCATGTAGCTCTCTCAAAGAGCGGTCTGACATCAGAGAGGCCTTCTTGAGTTTGACCTTCTAGAGTAAGTGGAGCGATGTTCTCTTTTTCAGTCATTTCTAGAGTCTGACAGCTCTAGACTCACTCTCAAAAATCTTCGAGAGTCTAGAGTGGTGGAGCGAGACCCAAAGCCCCGAAGAACTCAGCCCTACAAGGACCGAGCCTGCTTGGCCCTGGCGTGGAGGACAAGTTCCCGTCCTCCTCCCCGGTGAGAACGCCCTAAGGTCAGTATCTGCCCGAAAGCTCCTGTAGGCGGCTCAGGCTACAACTTCGTCGGAAACACTTCTAGGCTCGGACCTGCCGTACGGCCCAGATTCATGTGCAGAACATGTTCGTCTGGATATGGAGACAGGCAAGTTGAGGTAGGTGGTTTCTTTTCCTTCCCATATGTATGTTTGAGTTTGCTTACCACCTACGTAGCAGCCACACCTTCGGGAGCGAGTGCGTCGGTTTCGGTCTCGTGCTTGTGTGTGCCTCTTTGTGCGTGTGGTGTGCGGGAGGGTGGGCGGGTGGGTGTTGCGTGTGTCATGTGTGTGCGGGTGAGTGTCGGTGTGTCCTGTGTGTGCGGGTGTGAGTGGAAGAAGAAAATAGGTAAGGGTGAGAGGAGGGGGCCGGGTGTACGATGCGGCACGTGTCCGGGTCCCCTGCTTCGATCCGAGTCGAGAACTCCATTGTGTAGTGCGGCAGTCACATCAGGAAGGCGGCGCGCAGTGTGCCCTTGCGTGCGTCTGTGTGTGTGTGTTGTCATGTTTGATATACACAAGACGAAAAGAAGCATGATAGTTGCCAACAGAGTGCGTGTGTGTGTGTGTGTGTGTGTGTGTGTGTGTGTGTGTGTGTGT